TGACCCATAGAACAGAAGGCTGTGGAAGGTCAGTAGTTCAGCAGTTCGAGACCCAGGTGCCGCATGATGGAGTGAGCTCCTGTCTCTAGTTCCAGCTCCTGCCAACCTAGCAGTTCGAAAGCAAGAAATTGCAAGTAGATAAATAGGTACCACTTTGGTGGGAAGGTAACAGCGTTCCGTGCGCCTTGGTGTTTAGTCATGCCGGCCACATGACCACGGAAATGTCTTCGGACAGCGCTGGCTCTTCGGCTTTGAACGGAGATGAGCACCGTAACCCTAGAGTCGGATCTGACTGGCTTTCGAGCAAGGGAACCTTTACCCGCTGATTTCCCTCTTCATTCAAGACATACAAAAATAGGCAGCCGGTAATTATCCCGCGTACATAAATACTGATTAGGCAGCGGCACTCCTTGCTTTTGGGGAGAGTCGTTCCATAAGATCACCTTCGTCTGCCGCCTAGCAATTATGCTTTTTGTGCAAGATGTTCTGTTTGCCCTGGACAAACAGCACCATGCAGACTAACCCCTTAGCCAAGAAAAGAAGATAACCACTACTCTGCTTATCATCTTTGCCACTCCCCCTCCCGCAAGAACGTTTGCAGTTATGTGCAAATCACTCTGACTTGGTTGCCCCAAGGACAGCAGAACCCCGAAGGCCTTGGGAGCAGCTGATATGGCACATATCCCATTATCTTCTCTGCATCTCTGCTATTCTTTCATACCCTAAGTGTGTGATTGGTCTAAGGCCGCCCAGCAAGCTTCCATGGCAGAGAAGGAGTGCCAGGAGCTCTCTTCTCATGTAGTCACATGTAGAGCAGCCGTAGTGAATCCTTCCATGGCAGAGCAGGAACTGGAAGACGAAATAGTCCGGGTCGGCAGTATGTTGCAGGTGTAGCTGAGCTAGGGTGTGTTTGAGGGCAGTGGTCTTCAGGCTTTGCAGTCAGGGGGCCTGCTGAGCGGCAAGGGTGTGACAGGAAGTCATGTGGCACTGAAATCACTGAGGGGAGGGGGGGAGTCAGATTTATGACCGACTAAGAGACTAAGGAGCTCCGGTGGCTCAAGTGGTTAAGATGCTGAACTGCAGGCTGTGGAAGGTCAGTAGTTCAGCAGTTCAAGACCCGAGTGTGCCGCATGACGGAGTGAGCTCCCGTCTCTAGTTCCAGCTCCTGCCAACCTAGCAGTTCGAAAGCAAGAAATTGCAAGTAGATAAATAGGGACCACTTCAGTGGGAAGGGAACAGCGTTCCGTGCGCCTTGGTGTTTAGTCATGCCGACCACATGACCACGGAAACGTCTTCGGACAGCGCTGGCTCTTCGGCTTTGAAACGGAGATGAGCACCGCAACCCTAGAGTCGGATTCGACTGGCTTTCGAGCAAGGGAACCTTTACCTTTTTTTAAAGAGACCTCAGGCCCCCCACCCATGGTTTGAAGACTTAAGTTACTTAAGTTACAGACCTTCAAGCACCTGACGGGAAAAATCAGGATCACGCCAGAGCAGCTTTGACAGCGAGAAGATGTGCATTAAAGATGTGCATGGAAGACCGACCTTCAGACAGGCCCCCACCAATGTTCCCTCTAAGCTGTGGAGTCATGTGAGGAAAAATTCTACTTTGTGAGCTAGTGGCGTTAACGTTGTGAGCGAGCAATTTGGCCGCTGCATCAATTAGTTTGTTCTGGAGCCGTCCTTCCCGAGCAAAGACAAAAATGTGTGAGCCGGAGGCTAAAAAACTGTGAGCTAGCTCACACTAACTCAGCTTAGAGGGGAACACTGGTCCCCACATTGTTTTTTCAGATTTCCGTCTGTTTAATTCCAGGGCTGGTGGTGACAGACGTGGCCTGGAATGAGTGTTACTTAAACAATTTACTTTCAAGTGAGCTACTTCAAGTGACTTGCCCCTGTCTGGTGTATGCACAACACATTCCTGGTACTCATTCCTTTTCCATCCTCGACAGAGTTACTCCAGTCTAAGCCCGTGTGGCTTTGCCCTAACCGAGATGGCTGAGGACATCTTGCCAGATCTCAGAAGCTGAGCGGGGTCGGTCCTGGTTAGTCCTTGGATGGGAGACCAGCCAGGAAGTCCAGGGTCTCTGTGCAGAGGCAGGCCACGTCAAACCTCCTCCTCTGAACGTCTCTTGCCTTGAAAACCCTGCGGGGTCGCCAGGGGAGACCTGTGCTAACAGTAGACTGGCTGCCCTCCATGTCCATCACAAATGCAGGCCACCTGTAGATGGAAAAGGCTTTCTACCTGCTTCGGAGACTCCCCAGGGCTGCGGCAAAACACGACTTTGTAAAACAACCGAAATAGGAGGGGGGAGGAACCCAAATTTGGTGTAGTAGTGGTTAAGTGCATGGACTCTAATCTGAGAGAACCAGGTTTGATTCCCCACTCCTCCACTTGCACCTGCTGGATGAGCTTGGGCAAGCCACAGCTCTGATAAGAGCTGTTCTTGAAAAAGAGCAGTTTCTGTCAAGAGCTCTCTCAGCCCCACCTACCTCACATGGGTGTCTGTTGTGGGGATGGGAAGGGAAAGGAGTTTGTAAGCCGCTCTGAGATACCTTTGGATAGTAAAGGTAAAAGGTAAAGGTTCCCTTGCTCGAAAGCCAGTCGAATCCGACTCCAGGGTTGCGGTGCTCATCTCCGTTTCAAAGCCGAAGAGCCAGCACTGTCCGAAGACATTTCCGTGGACATGTGGCCGGCATGACTAAACACCAAGGCGCACGGAACGCTGTTCCCTTCCCACCGAAGCGGTACCTATTTATCTACTTGCAATTTCTTGCTTTCGAACTGCTAGGTTGGCAGGAGCTGGAACTAGAGACAGGAGCTCACTCCGTCATGCGGCACACTTGGGTCTCGAACTGCTGAACTACCGACCTTCCACAGCCTGCAGTTCAGCGTCTTAACCACTTGAGCCACCGCAGCTCCTTTGGGTAGTAAAGGGCGGGGTATAAATCCAATCTCTCCTTCTTCTTCAAATGGCCCTGTGAGGCTTCAATATGCTTCAGGATTGCAGAATGTTGACAGTAGCTGAGAGGCAAAGAAGGAAGGGAGGGGGAATTGGCCTGCAGTGGATCGTGAGGGTATACATAAGGGGGATGAGATGTCCAAATTATCCCCGCCCCGGCAATACACTGTGGGCCCTGCCTGCAACGTCAGGGCAATGAACTGAGAGAGACATTGTCCTCAAACCAATAATTGAAGCAGGCGTTTCTGAAAAGATGAAATGTTGTTTCTCCTGCAGCTACCAGGAGACAGACGCATCATCTGCACATTGTAAGGAGAGAGATAACGGTGCATAATTTGCGCAAACATATGCTGCTTTGCTGCGTTTGCAAAGCCACAACAGCTGCCCACACACCCAGTCGCACAGAGTAGCCTGGGGGAAAGCACCTGGGAAAAGCTGCGCAGATGTCCCGGCAGAAGGGAAATATTCCTGTTCACGGGGTCAGAATTTCCTGGCTGACACTTCCCTTTGCTGTGGCCAGTGCATGCCTTAAGAACATAAGAGACGCCAATGTTGGATCAGGCCAAAGGCCCATCCTGTCCAACACTCTGTATCACACAGTGGCCAGAAATACCAGTGCCATCAGGAGGTCCACCAGTGGGGCCAGGACATTAGAAGCCCTCCCACTGTTGACCCCCCCCCAAGCACCAAGAAGACAGAGCATCACTTGCCCCGGAGCCCCTATCTATACCTTGTGGCTAATAGCCACTGATGGACCTCTGCTCCATATGCTTATCTAATTCCTTTTTGAAGCCGTCCATGCTTGTAGCCACCCCCACTTCCTGTGGCAGTGAATTCCATGTATTAATCACTCTTTGGGTGAAGAAGGACTTCCTTTTATCTGTTCTAATCCGACCGCTCAGCAGTTTCATGGAGTGCCCACGAGTTCTTGTATTGTGAGAAAGGGAGAAAAGTACCTCTTTCTCTACTTGCTCTTTCCCATGCATAATCTTATAAACCTTTATTTGTAATGATAATACTCTGCATTTATAGAGCACTTTAGAGGGGTTGGTGCATTTTGCAAGCATTATTTTGGTAGTCTTTCCAACAACCTAGTAAGGTTGGCCAGTAATTATACCCATATTGCATATAGGAGTGGGCTGAAGCTGGAAAAATACTGGTTTGCTGATGGCCACCTAGTCTATGGTTAGATTTTAACCACCGTCTTTCCAGATCCCACATTTATGAGCAAAGGCAGTCAGTTTGATGTAGGGGTTAAGAGAGGCAAGAGTCTAATCCAGAGTACCAGGTTCAATTCCCCACTCCTCCACATGAAGCCAGCTGGGTGACCTTGGGTCAGTCACAGCTCTCAGAGCTCGCTCAGCCCACCAGCAAGTCTAGCTCGCCACCTAGTGGTGCATAATGGTAGCGGTAAAGGTAAAGGTAAAGGTTCCCTTGCTCGAAAGCCAGTCGAATCCGACTCTAGGGTTGCGGTGCTCATCTCCGTTTCAAAGCCTAAGAGCCAGCGCTGTCCGAAGACGTTTCCGTGGACATGTGGCCAGCATGACTAAACACCAAGGCTGTTACCTTCCCACCGAAGTGGTACCTATTTATCTACTTGCAATTTCTTGCTTTCGAACTGCTAGGTTGCCAGGAGCTGGAACTAGAGATGGGAGCTCACTCCATCATGCAGCACCCAGGTCTCGAACTGCTGAACTACTGACCTTCCACAGCCTGCAGTTCAGCGTCTTAACCACTTGAGCCACCGCAGCTCCCCAATGGTAGTGGTGCATAACGCTAAAAAGTTAGAACTTTGGCTGCCAGACAACCCCCGGATCTCCTGGCTAAATAACACACACTGCCATACAGTAATTAATTAATTTAATTTATGACCAAATTACATATGAGGTAAGCATTCTGTAATTGGAACCCCAAATGTATTCTTTGACCAAAAAAAAACACCTGTGGGGAAGGGGGTAGCAAGGACTGGAGACCCAGTGCTGGGAATGGAGAGGTTTTCCTCCTCCCCAGCGCCCCCCCCAATTGCAAACGACTGTTTTAAGCTTCCTGGTCTCCAGCAGGGTCCTGCAGGGCAGGGCAGGTGGGATTGCAGTGTGGCCACAAGCAGCTGTCAATCAGGCGGAAGGGGCAGCCGCGAAGGGGCGGTTTGGGAGGCCGGCCTGCTTCGTGGAGGCTCTTCCCCCAGCACTGCAAGGCTCGCGGCAGAGGAACTCCCCTCACTTGGATTTCTGTCCAGTAGCTGTGGGGGTGGGGAGAGAAAACAGAATGAGAGAGGATTGACTGGCAGATCTGAGGACCAATCTGGGCATCCTGTTGGGTTCCCAGGACACTGGCCTTCCTCCCCCCGTCACAGCCAGGCCTGCAGGCACCTTTGGGTTTCGGACACAGGGTGTGGGCTGGGGTTGCCAACATCCAGGCTGGGACTGGAGTTCTCCCAGGATTACAACGGATTACCAGACTGCCGAGATCAGTTCCCCTGGAGAAAATGGCAGTTTGGGAAGTGGACTCTGTGGCATCACATCCTCAAAGCCCGCCCTCCTTAGGCTCCACCCCGGAATCTCCAGGAATGTCCCAACCTGAATGGCTGCTGCAGGAGGCGCAGAGCCAACCACAAAACGGCAGGGGGGAAGGTCGACAGTGACTCCAGGAGTCACTCTTCAACATTGCCGGCAGACGAATATATTGTTCAAAAGCGTTTTCTTGCTTACCCACCTTCAGTCCCGGCACCCTGAGCTGTGGTGGCAGCAGCTGCTGAAGCCACTTTTAAAAAATCCACACAGCCAGTCAGATCTCAAATGGCCAATCAGAAGCCCTGCTGGGCAAAAGCCCCACCCACTTTCTAATAACACTCAACTGTGCCGGGAAGGACGTTGGCAGGTGCCATGTTGGGAACCCCTGGATTCTAGGTAAAGGTAAAGGTTTCCCTTGCTCAAAAGCCAGTCAAATCCGGCTCTACGGATCATCTCCAAAGAGCCAGCACTTTCCAAAGACGTTTCCGTGGTCATGTGGCCGGCATGACTAGATGCCGAGGCGCACGGAACGCTGTTACCTTCCCACTGAAGTGGTACCTATTTATCTACTTGCAATTTCTTGCTTTCGAACTGCTAGGTTGGCAGGAGTTGGGGCCAGAGACGGGAGCTCACTCCATCATGCGGCACACTGGGGTCTCGAACTGCTGAACTACCGACCTTCTGGTCTGCAGTTCAGTGTCTTAACCACTTGAGCCACCGCAGCCATAGTTAATTGGAAGTTCCAGTTCTGCACTGTTCACAAGAGGGAGGGAGACAAAAACTGAGTACATTTAAAGGAGGGTGGGAACAAAAGCGGTCACACACACCCAGGGTGTGGGAGTGGATCCAGAAGGGCCCTTCTGTTGCAAAATATTCCCCACTGTCCGAAAGACCGTTTTGCACCTTGCGCAAGAGCACTGTGTGATAGAAGTGAAGCTATAACCAAAGCGAAGCCATAACACAGAGTCTTCCTTCCTTGGCCATTAAAGGGGAAAAACTGACAAGACATCCAGTCAGGTCTTGTGTAAACCACCCGGCAACATCCCTTGAAGAACACAAGATTAAAAGATGCACGGGTATCTAATGATCTAGCAACTGACACTTGGCAGCAGAGAGTTGGCTGATGAATGAGGGGCAGGGCTGTGCCTCGGGGTGGTTGAACGTCCGCCTTGCCCGCAGAAGGTCCCAGGTTCAGTCCCCGGCATCTGTTGTTCAGAAGATCGGGGGCATGTGAAAGATCCTTAAGAGCCTTTGCCAGTTAGAGCAGACAACGCCAACTGACTCAGTAAAAGGCAGCTTGTTGTTATGTATTTATTTATACTTACCTTTTAATTACCAACGTATGAGCCGGACAGGAGGGTGCAAACACAGCGCTACGGGAAAAAGAAAAACACAACGTTGCTGCCCTCTGATTTCCTCTCTGATGCAGTGGCTTTAAACAGTCCAGGGTTACACATTCAGGGAAAGCAGAGCACCTGCCCAATGAGGAAGAAGAGTCTCGGGTCTTCCCTGTTTAGAGAAGAGATAGCTAAGGGGAGGCATGATACAGTTTTATACGATTATTAAAGGGGTGGAGAAGGGATCATAGAATCACAGAGTCGGAAGGGCCATCCAGTCCAACCCCCTGCTCAATGCAGGATCAGCCTACAGCATCCCTGACTAGTGTTAGTCCAGCTGCTGCTTACAGACTGCCAGGGAGGGGGAGCTCACCACCTCCCCAGCCAGCTGATTCTACTGCTGCACAAGTCTGCCTGTCAAAATGTTTCCCCTAAGATCCAGCCAGTATCGCTTCCCACCCTTAATTTACACCCATTATTGCGAGTCCTCTCCTCTGGGGCCAATGGGAACAGCTCCCCGCCCTCCTCTAAGTGGCTGCCCTTCAAATACTTCAAGAGAGCAATCATGTCCCCCCCTCAACCTCCTCTTCTCCAGGCTCAACATTCCCAAGTCCCTCAGCCTTTCCTCCTAGGGCTTCTTGGTCTCCAGGCCCCCGATCATCCTCGTCACTCTCCTCTGCACCTGCTCCATTCCGTCCACATCCTTTTGGAAGTGAGGCCTCCAGAACTGCTCACAATACTCCAGGTGCAGCCTGTCCAAAGCAGTGTACAGCGGGACTATGACATCTTGTGATTTGGATGTTATGCCTCTGTTGATACACCCCAAGATGGCATTAGCCTTTTTTGTCGCCGCATCACACTGGCTGCTCATATTTAACTTATGGTCCACCCATACTCCAAGAATTTGTTCACACACAGTGCTACCCAGAAGTGTATCCCCCATCCAGTATGCGTGCTCCTCAATTTTGATACCCAGATGTAGAACTATTTTTCCTCTCCCATAAGACTGAGGCACTCACAATGAAGTTGATGTGTGGGAAAGTGGATTCAGAAGAAGCACTTTCTCACTCAGCACAGAATTAATTTGTGGAACTCACTGACAGAAAGATGGTCAGACGGCCTCTAGCTTAGACGCCCTCACAAGGCAATCGCACAGTTCCATGTAGGAGAAGTTTATCAGTGCTACAAGCCGTGATGACTGAATGGAGCCTCCATGACCGGAGGCAGTATACCATGCAATGTCAGTCGCAAGGGAGCGATAACAGTGGAAGACGTTCACTTTCATGTCCACTTGTAAGCCTTCCGGAAGCATCTGGTCTGATGACCGTGTGAAACAGGAGGCGGAAGTAGACGGAACACTTGTCTGATCCAGCAGGGCTACTCTGATATCCTTACAGTGAGTGGAAGTCTTTCCTCATCCTCATTCTTCAACAGCCAGTGCTGGAGCTCGATCCCAGGATACTTATCTCTGCAAACATGATTGCCTCCTGCAATATTTAACTTCAGCGTCTGCAGTACTTACGGGATGTCACGCAAAGAGCTCTTCAGCTCCCTCCCGAGGTTCTGGATGTAACCCCGCTGGTTTTCCAAGACCCTCGTACTCCCGAAGTGGACATTTTCTAATTTCAGCTGTTCCTCATCAAACAGCCACTGAACCACAAACACGGGAGCTGCGAAGAGAAGGAAGAAGGCCTCAGCTGGAGACAAAGGAACGATTCTGCACCAGAGAGTCCAGGGCTATTTTTGGGCAGGAACGCACAGGAACGGAGTTCCGGCTGGCTCCCGAGTTGGCCACGCCCAGCAGGAACTCATTAGCATAACAGGCCACACCCAACAGCAGGAACTCATTGGGATTGGCTACATTAGGGGTGTGTGGCCTAACATGCAAAGGAGTTCCTGCTACAAAAAAAAAGGCCCTGGGTTTTGACAACAAACAAGGTAAACAGAATAAGGAGCAAAAGGTGGGTGTGGTTGGATGACCACACTTCTGGTAACATGGGGGTGTGGCCTAATATGCTAATGAGCTGTGATGTCAGGGGTGTGGCCTAATATGCTAATGAGTATCTGCTGTTGGGTGTGACCTATTATGCTAATGAGTTCCTGCTGGGCTTTTTCTACAAAAAAACCCCTGCCAGAGACTAATGAGAACAGAGGCACAAGGTAGCCAGGTTGTGACACAGAGATTTCCTTGTACCTGTAGTTCCCCCACTGCAGTAGGAGCTGTCCCCACGGTGCCTTCTTCCTGGCCTCTAATTAGGTTGTGTTAAGCACTCCCCTGGTCCTCTGGGGCAGGAGATTTTTTTTGGGGGGGAGGGGGTAAATGATAGAGCTGAGCAGAAACTGGGCGGGAGGGGCAAGGGTTGCGACTTCTCCCACTCAGTGAAGATTTCTGTGGGTTGCACACTGCTAGGCCTGCGTTCTGGAGCCAGCAGATCCTTTCTGGAACTTTGAGACAGTGGAGCGGGGGGCCACAACAAAATGGTTGCCACTCACGCCACTTTCTCAAAGTTGTAGAAGGGGGTGGAGCCAAACTCAAAATGGCTGCCACGGGTGACTGACTGACTGCTTTGGGAGTCAGGTGCTGTTGGGCTCCAGGTTCTAGAAAACAAAATAAATTAGTCAGCTGGTAGGCAGTAGGGTTGCCAAGTGCTTTTTGAGCTGCAGCGGGGGACTCCTGGCTGGTGGCTGGAGCGCGCACACACCGCACGTATGTCACCCGGAAGTGACATAACGATGCCGGGCACGCTGGGGGCGGGGCCACAACCATCCGAGGGAATACCATAGAGTTTTTCCTCGGGCGGCCGGGGCCCCGCCCCCAGCATGCCCGGCGTGGTTGCGGCGGGGAATGGGCCTCTGGGGTGGGGTTTTCCCCGCCCCCCAGGGGGACTTGGCAAGCCTAGTAGGTAGGGAATGACCTGAATCATCCCTCCCCCCCTTCAAGACCCTTCAGATCTTAGTCTGGCTGTCAGGAAACACGATAGCAGGTGCCAAATCAGGGCTCATTGGTCCAACAGAACAGAAAGAGCATCGGTATAAGTTGACAACCCAAGAACAGCACAGAATAAAGCAGGCAGAGGGAAAGATCAGATAAGAAAGTGAAAACAATCAACAGTGTTAAAATGCCAGGGGGAGAGAGCGAGAATTTGGGCCTGGCATTGGAAAATCGGCCAGTGACCTGGTAGCAGGCAACCCTATACCAGCCAGGCTCATGGGACGAACAATAGTCACTTGGGTAAAGTTGCTACTGACAGCTTTGCCCTCCTTTGACAGCGCTGTGGGAACGAGGCCTTGTGGTTCACGTGAGAGATCAGCCTTACTTTTCAGGGATGAATACAGCTTATGTCCCAGGAAGCACTGCCATTCCTCGCCCCGTCTGAACTGCTGCTTGCATTTCTCCGGAAGGACTCCATTCCACATTCTAGAGGGGGGAGGGAAAGAAAACATGACCATGGAGGGCCGATCCTTGGAGTTTGTCACATGGGAGAGGTCTCGGATCCTGCTTTGCGTGGGCCCATTTTCCAGAGGATGCCTGGAGCTCCCATCTCAGAGGGGCCCCAAAGCTGTCGGACACGACATGGGAGCTCGGGTGGCTTTGGACGTGATGCAGAACAGCCTCCCAAGCGAGTGTTCTCCTCTGCCTCAGGATATTAGGCAGTGGAGTGTTCTTGTTGCGGAATTAGGTCCTGGACAAGAAGTGGGACCCGTGATACTCGCCGGGGGGGGGGGAGGATTTCCCACGGCTCCCAAGCTGCCAAGTCTTCTCCCCGTTAAGTTACAAAGTACTGCAGCCTTAGGAAGTTTCTGCTCAGGGCAGAGGGCTCCCAATCTAGGGATTTGTAATGAAAATGTTGATACTTTCATGGCGGTTTAAAACGAAGCCCTGTAGAAAAAGTGTGTTTCACCGTGGCTGGATGGTGCCCGGAGAAAAGGCTGAAAGGGCACGACTAATGCATGCGGCAGGTGCAAGCGGAATCGGGCCCCTGTGGCAGCCCCAAACCCCAGTTCTGCGGACGACGGGATCGTGTTGGTGCGGGTTGAGCCTCCCTTTCCACATTGGATTGGCTCCCTCCTTCCTTCCTTCCTTCCCTCCGAGCTGGCAAGCCTTCTCCCCGCTGCCCCCGCCACTGCCCACAACAGCAGCACTTGCAAGCCCTGCACGACTCCAAGCTGCCAGGCCCGCCAGGCTCTTCCCTGCTGCCGCCCACAACAGTAACATTGGCGAGTTCTGCATGGCTCCAAGCTGCCAGGCCCGCCAGGCTTTCCCCCACCGCTGCTGCCACCAACAGCAGCAGCAATGGCCGTGACTTCTAGCTGCCGGCCCACCAAGGCTCACACCCCCCCTCGCCGCCGCCAGCACCAACAGCTCTGCCACAGATCCCAGAGGTAAGTGCGTTCCCTGTGCGTTCCTCTTTTACTTTTGGGGAGATTTAAGTATCCCCCGTATATTTTTTTAACTTTTCAGATTTTTCTGCACATCTGGGGATTGCCTATCACCATCAAAATGAATAGGGTATCTGAAACTAGCTTCCTTGACTTGTTCTGCCGTTTCCTCCGGCTGTACCGCTCAATTTCCCACTATTTGCTGCGAAGCTGCATTTTGACCAGCATCCCCCCCAAAAATTTCCCCCACATCTTCTTGATCCTAAAAAATAAGGATCAAGAAGACGCTGGGGAAATCGAAGGGAGATGTGGGTCAAAATGTGGCTGCGCAGCGAATAGTGGGAAACTGAGCGGTCCAACCGGAGGAAACGGCAGACCAAGGGCAGAACAACTGCTTTTGCGGAATCAGTGTCTCCTTGACTTGCTGTGAGCTTCCTGACCCCAGAGATAGAAAGAAGGGGATGGATTTGGGTTGGTACATCGGGTTAGTTCTAGTTTGGCCTGCGTCACATTCATGGTAGTCCTACATGATAGGCATGTCAACAGCTATAGGCAGTAGGCACGTCAGCAGCTATAGGTCCAAGAAAGATATATACCTCTGGGTTATTAATGGTGGGGGCTGTTCATCAGGGCCCGGGGGCCTTGATGTCAGTAGCTGGAATATATTCCTTATTTGTCTGGGTCTACACTGTACGTTGAATGATAAGTATGAATTAAGAATTATGAATCAATTTTGCATGCTACCTACCAGACCCTTCTATGTTTGGAAGGTTTTACATTTTGGGTTTGAGGTTCAATAAATAAGGTGTGTTTTTTAAAAAAATAGCTGTCTCTCTTTCTTGACGGCATTGGGATCCCTGCCAGATTCCTCTCCCTCCCCAACGTACACTGTGGGGATGGGAATCCATGAAAAGGTTCCTGCGCTCCTCGTTCCCCCAACAGTTCTCAAGTCAATTCAGGGGTCATTTCGTAGACAAAGAGGCGCAGGAGCTCATTAGCATAACTTATTTGCGTATGCCACACCCCCTGACATCACCGGAAGTGTGTCAGAAGGCAACACCCACTGCTCAGGCTCCAGTGGACTGTTTTGGATTGCTAGCTATTGGGGGGGGGGGGGACAAGGAAAACTGGTCTCGCACGCAGAGGAGGGAGAGCTTTTACCTGAATAAAACTTGGTCTTAAAGGTGCCACTGGAATGGTGTGTGGGCCTGGGGGGGGTTCTGCAACTTACCTGGCTGCTTCTTGCTCTGACTGAGGGCTGCTGGGAGCAGGGGGTGGGGCTTGTTGCATGTGCCCGCCCCCTGGACTCTCTACTGCCGGAGCTCCGCTCCTGTGCGCTCCTGCAGGAAATGACCCCGGGCCCTGAGTCACATCAACACCCATTAATAAATGCACTTCCGTTCCCCTCTCCTACGTGTGTGGCGGGAAGCCCCACTGCCTGGTCAGCAGGCAAAGGTGTACCGGAGCCCTTTCTTGAGTGCATCTGCTGGAGAGCAAGCGAAAGGATCCGAGCATCCCGCTGGTCTTGGCCGTTTGGTGTCTATCAGGAACCAGCCGGAGTCAACGAGCCCCTGGACCTGAAGAGCATCTGCTTCGAGCTCCGCCAGGAGGGCCGCCACCCGGTCAATGTTCAGCAGCACCCCTGTGGCTCCAGCACTGAAAAGGGAAAGGCATCACAGCAGGCCCTGCGTATTCCACACTGGATCTTTGTCCCGCCTAACAGCCAACTCTCTCTGCCGACACCTTTACCTCACTGTTCCCCCAAGGAGCTCCGGGCGGCATATGTGACTCTCCCCTCCCCCGTTTTATCCCCACATGACAACCCTGTGAGGTAGGGCAGGCTGAGGAGTGATGGAGACTGGCCTATGGGCATCTCTGAATGAGGCTTTGAACCTGATTCACTCCAGCTCTGGACCACTAGTCATACTATCAACTCTCCTGCAGAGAATTAATGCATGAGTAGAGTGAGGCCTTGAGGCCTTTTAAAGAGAAGAGTGGTGTGACGTCCTCCTTGTGGAGGACTAGTTTCACTTTAAAAGTTCTCTATATTTTTCTTAACTGGGTAGATTCTGCTGCCACCAGGAAATTTTAAGGATTTCCAAACCTTTATGCTTATAATGTTGCTCTTACTAGTTTGGTAGACCGAGATCAAGGCTTATGAGGAACTATGTGGTCCTGGGAAGTATTTCATTCAGAGCTGGTATAAACTTGAATAAAAGAGGATTTATTGAAATAACTACTAATTGAGGGTGGTACACTGTAACTAGTAATGTGTAAATGATGAACAATTGCTGTGGTATCACACACAATCTTATCCCTCACTGACAGGGATCTTTTCATGTAACTTTGTAACACTTGTTTATCTCAATGCCATATATGTTCACTGTTTCACTCTCCAGTTTGTTATGACACTCAGACTTTCCTTTAACTTTTCTTCTCTTAAACATTACTTTACTTTTTCCTATACACTCAGCTTTCAGCTCTCTTTCTCTTTCTCACTGAACAACTTCAACTGTCAGCTTCTGCTTCCACACAGAACTGCCTGTGTACATCAACTGTCAACTTGTAACTGTAACTCCTGACTGACTCAACCCTGTGAGGTAGGGCAGGCTGAGGGGTGATGGAGATTGGCCTATGGGCATCCCTGAATGGGGCTTTGAACCCGATTCACTAGTCATGCCACCAACTCTCCTGCAGAGGATTAATGCATGAGTAGAGTGAGGCCTTGAGGCCTTTTAAAGAGACGAGCAGGATAAAAGTATGTCAGATAAATACAAGTACAATTCTATGCAGCATCTTTCCAGTTTAAGGCTTCTGAAATGAATAGACTACAGTTCCTTCCCATGGGCCAGTGTGGTGTAGTGGCCAGAGCGTTGGACTAGCATCTGGAAGACCAAGGCTCAAATCCCCATGCCCCCCTCTGCCATGGAAGCTGGCTGGGTGTCCTTGGTATTGGAGTATTGCAAGTTCACTCCAGTCATAAAAGAGTTAAACTTAGTTCGCTTAGGACCAATTCAATCTCAGGGACATATTTCCCGCCAGAGGATGAGTTGGGATTGGGGCTTTTAGGGGAAACTTTCCATCTGCTTTGTTCTTTCACGCCCAAGGTTTAGCAATCGAACAGACAAGATGGAGCTCAGAATGTTTATTATTTTCATTCCGTGTACCCCTTCCATATAATTTCTCAGTAAAGCTTTCGTTAATCTAAATACACACCCGTGTGGCTGCCTTGCCTTTACTCTGCTAAGTATATCCAACACTTGGGCTGGTCACACTCCCTCAGCCTAACCTACTTCACAGGGTTGCTGTGAGGATAAAATGGAATGATATAAGCTGCTTTGGGCTCCCCGTTGGTGAGAAAGGCGGGGTATAAGTGAAATCAACAAATCAACCATAGGATTGCATATAAATATAACTTGTTACCAATGCTCCCTCTAAGCTGTGGAGCCTTGCGTGCAAAAATTCTCCTTTGTGAGCTACTGGCATTAAAGTTGTGAGCGAGGGATTTGGCTGCTGCATAGATTAGCTTGCTCTGGAGCCATCCCTTCCTGAGCGAAGACAAAAATATGTGAGCCAGAGGCTAAAAAACTGTGAGTTTGCTCACACTCACTCAGCTTAGAGGGAACACTGCTTGTTACTATTTACTAGATTGGCTGCCAGCAACGTTCCGAGTTCTCAGGCTCTGCCACCGGAGATCTTTTTGACCAGTGATGCCAGGGCTTGAATGTGAGCCCTTCTGCATACAAAGCCGATGCTCTTCCATTGAACAAAATCTTCCCTCTTCCATGAGTCACGTGGAATCATAACCCCAAATTAAACAGACTTAGTCCTCCCCAGTTCGCAGGGTCTTCTTCTGGCTTACCTGGAGCCAGCAAGCAAGAGCACCTTAGCTTGCTTAATTCCTTTGGGGACGAGGTCTTTTAGGACTTCCTGGATAATCAAAGAGCCCATGAAAGCATAAGGCGCTAGAAGAAAGAGGGCAAGGTTGAAAATGACTTGAGATGAAAAGGGGCCAGAAGGCTACTGGGAAACAGTATACCTTGTCGTGACTTGGGCAGAGTTCCGATCCAAATGTCACTGGAGCAATAAGGCACAAAGCTGAAGAGAAGCAGCAGAATCATGCAATTAAAGCAATCCAGTATTATAATCCACATTGTACTGAGTAAACAGCAGCTGCCGTAATGTTTGCGCGGTGCTTTCAATCCCCCCTGCGAAAATCTTTGCCTATTTGCATTTTTAAAAAGATATATCCTTCTTTTTTTACCCTACACAGAATATACAATATAAAAATATTTAGGACAATAATCTACAACAAAATAACCAGCCAGATCAACAAGAAAAAAAATCACCCTCACACAAATTACAAGGCCTGAATGGGTATCCCTGAATATGAAACTCCATAGTTCTGATGCCATCACCAAAAAGGCCCTGCATCATGTTGCTACCCCACCCAGGATCTCTGATGGTGCAGGAATGTGGGACAGAAGATCTGCAGAAGATTTCTGTATGCAGATAGGCTACTGAAGTAGAAAGCAAGCTTTAAGTTCCTCTGCCTTTGGTCTCCAACCATTTAGGGAATGGAAGAAACATCTTACACTGCATTTGCACTCCACCAGTGAGGATTCTCATCCACGTGAGCTGACAAAATGCCTGTCCCTAGGATAACAAGCAGAAAAATAAGACAGCAATGGATGTACAGTCCAACAGCTAAATACTAGTTTTCTCTCTCAAGTCTCAGTACCTTTTCTTGTTCGTGGCCACTCCAATGAACTTGTCAAGCGACGGCTGTTCTTGTGTCTGTTCTCACAAGTTTCTGTGCTATAGCAGCACCAGCCACCTGGCAAAGGATGGGAAAGAGGATCTTGACTACTCGCATCCATTTGCCTTAAATTAAAACTCATGATTGAGGCTACATTTCAGGGGGGGGGAGGTGTCTGTTTATTTTTATTTTATTGGACTTTGTCAAACTCGGCCCTCGTTTGTCATATGTTTGTTCACTGTCTGTTTCATGTCACTGCCTTGTTTCATTCCAGCTGGGAATTGGGGGGGTGAGGTCGTGTGTGGAGTGGCTTTGCTGAGAGTTGTGCTGGCTTGTAACTGTGTCCATGCGGGGCCTCCCCATTGTGGGAAGTATGCATGCTTGTCCTTGAGTACCAGACACTGCTAGATAGTGTAACTGTAGGCTTGCAGGTGCTGGGGGAAGGTTAACAAAGCACACTAGTTTTGGTGGGCTGGATGTATGGGTGTGATTGGCCTGGTCACTAGGGGGGGTGTTGTTTGAATTATGTATAATATGAGAACGGGCGCCAAGTGAGCGGGTTCTGACACAGGTTCGTCTATGCTTGAAACCTCTTTATCTCTCAATAAACAAATCACTGCCAAGAGAGTGTTGTTGGGAGCGAGTTTCTTCAGGACTTGACAGACTTGTGTCCTGCCTTCCCTGTCGGCAGACTCAGGGAGGTTCCAACAATATCAATACAATATACAATACAATTAAAACCACTTTAAAACAACAGATTAAAACAGCACATAATCATAAAATACTGTGTAAAATCTAATTAGATACTTCAGCAATTAAAATGGGACAAAAGTGCGGGTTTCCCAGATAGCTATTTGCAGGACTTTTTTTGTAGAAAAAGCCCAGCAGGAACTCATTAGCATAATAGGCCACACCCAACAACAGAAACTCATTAGCATATCCAGCCACACCCATGAGAGCATAGCTCATTAGCATATTAGGCCACACCCCACATTACCAAAAGTATGGTCATCCAGCCACACCCACCTTTTGCTTCTTATTCTGTTTACCTTGTTTGTTGTCAAAACCTAGGGCCTTTTTTTGTAGCAGGAACTCCTTTGCATGTTAGGCCACACCCCAATGTAGCCAGTCCTAATGAGTTCCTGTTGGTGGGTGTGGCCTATTATGCTAATGAGTTCCTGCTGGGCGTGGTCAACTTGGGAGCCAGCCGGAACTCCGTTCCTGTGCGTTCCTGCCCAAAAATAGCCCTGGCTATTTGAATCCAGGCCACTGATGGGCGGCCAGCCAGAAGGGGGAGGGGATATCTGCTGCTTCAACTAAAAGCCTGGTGGAAGAGCTCTGTCTTACAGGCCCTGCAGAATTGTGATAAATCCCTCAGGGCTCTGATCTCATATGGGAGCTCATTCTACCAGTCGAGGCAAGTTGGACATCCCTTGGGACAGGGACTACCAAAATATGTTGATTCCTAGACCTCAGTGCTCTACGAGGCTCATATGGGGAGATGCGGTCCCAAAGGTATGGTGGCCCCTGGCCATATAGGGCTTTAAAGGTAAGCACCAGCACCTTGAAACAGATCCGGTATTGGATAGGCAGCCTGTGCAGTTCACGCAGCACTGGGTGGATATGAGCCTGCACAGGCATTGCTGTCAACACCCGTACTGCTGCATTCTGCACTAGCCGCAGCTTCCGGAGCAGAGTCCAGTTTCTCTCCTTGGATCCCTAATTCTGTAAATGCTTGGGCCAGACAGAACCAGTGTTCCCTCTAAGCTGAGTGAGTGTAAGCTAGCTCAGTTTTTCAGTGTCCGGCTCATACATTTTTGTCTTCGCTCAGGAAGGATGACTCCAGAGCCAACTAATTTATGCAGCAACCAAATTGCTCGCTCACGACTTTAATGCCAGGAGCTCACAAAGTAGAATTTTTGCTCACAAGTCTCCACAGCTTAGAGGGAAGATTGCTCCTAACCACTCCACCACGCTGGCTCTCCCGTCCTACACTGCCGGGGGGTGGGGGTGGCCGCGTGCACGGCACTCAGACTTGCCCAGATGTGACCTGAAGGGCAAAAAAAGGACACAAATGGGAGTGGGGACGAGAAGCCACATCCGGGTATCCTTTTGCTCAAAAGACTCGACAGCTTAGAGGGGGCATTGGACAGAACTTTGTTGCAAATACAAGAGGCCAGGGTGCATTCACTGGAAAACTGATGTCATTTGTTAATCAATAATGAGTCATGGCCTGAAAAGAAACTGCAGGCTTTTGTGCGGAAGAGACTGTTTTGGATATGTGCCAGTGGGACTCTCAGAATGAGATCCCCATAGCACACCCCACACATCCAGCGTTGGGCCCAGTTTGAGGAAGAACCCTCTGCAGGACACACAGAGGAAGAGAAACCTTCTGGACTGGTCATCCAGCTAAATTCTTACTAGCTTGCAGCCAGGAGCGAAGTCTGGGCACTCATGATAGGTCTGAAAGGAACTTCCATTGCTCCTGACTGTTTGCCCCCTTGTACTGCCCCCCCCCCCAGTCCAGCCCAGCCCAGCCCAGCCTGAGCTCTCTGGAACATGAACACCTGCCCTCCTCATGCCACAGGTTGAGTTCCTGCTGTGCTCATGGGTTCACAGACAGCGTGTGCCAGGATAAGACAAGGAGCAAAACATTGCATTTAGATGTGGGAAACCCAGACTTTGAAAGCAAGAAATTGCAAGTAGATAAATAGGTACCACTTTGGTGGGAAGGGAACAGCGTTCCATGCACCTTGGTGTTTAGTCATGCCGGCCACATGACCACGGAAACGTCTTCGGACAGCGCTGGCTCTTCGGCTTTGGAACGGAGATGAGCACCACAGCCCTAGAGTCGGACTCGACTGGCTTTCGAGCAAGGGAACCTTTACCTTTACCTGTCCCTACAACCAAGCCAAGCCTACCTTGCAGGAGTGTCGAGATGCTAAAAAGACACTCTGAACTCTCGGAGGAAAAGGTATGACACTGTCAGATGTGCTCAAACCAGAGGTTCTTGGTCTGAGAGCCTGACAGATAGAAGCGTAACCCACAGATTAGTCCTTCCAATTCCTCCAGAAGGTGCCAAGGCAGCCATTATGTATGTCTTCATTCATGCCAGTGAACAACTTCCCCTCTCTCTCTCTCTCTCTCTCTCTCTCTCTCCCTCCCTCCCTCTGATGTGTTTAAACTATTTATACCCCAGCCTCTCCATATAAATACTGATGAGGCAGTTTATAACCATAAGAATTCTTTATAAAACTGAAATAAAGTGATAAAACAAGTTGCAAACAATAGGATAAAATGCATATGTAGATTAAAAAACAGCAGCAAAACTAGACAAGGAATGCAATAAAAAGTTCAAAAACTCATCAGATATAAATTTAGTAAGCTCTTAAAATCCTAAAGCGGTTGATATAAAACGAGGGGAAATCAATTTAGTAAACCATTTATTTAATGTTATTTTAAAAAAAATTATGCTGCCTTTCCACCTGATCAGGGTCCCCAAGGCAGAGACAAAGAAACAGGACAAACAAGTAATGAAAGCTCTTGGGGGGAAATCTGAAAAGACTTGGAGAATAAAATAATCTTTGTTTGGCATCTGAAAGCCTATAAATTCGGTGTCGGGGCGCTTCTATAGAGAGGCCGTTCTGGAGCTTGCGTGCCACCACAAAAAAGGCCCTGTGTCTCTGGTGCTCTCCTCCACACTCCAGGCTGTGAAAGTGCAGACTCACAGGGCAGCGTCCCTGAAGAAAACACTGACTGATGGCGTGCTCACAGGCAATCAATGTGAGGAAAAAACTGAGAGCTTCAGCTCCTTGAGAGGCGATTTTTCTTCTTACCTACCTTCTAAGAAGACAATCCACCTCTTGCTGTTTCTCTGTTCCCTTATGTAGTATCTGCAACGGAAAGAGGAGGGAGTATTGAATACAGCATTCCTCTCCTTGCAATACTCATTCATAATTCTTCAAGCAGGGACTTGCAAAGGCTTCTGAGGGAGGGCAAATCTTACGCACGCCCCACTAGTTCTGTTTTCCTCCGCCCATGCTGTCTCCTTCCCACCCTACCCCCGGCTCCTCTTGGTGCTGCCACCACTACTTCAATGCCTGGCACAATTCAACTTGCCATACCCCCACCCCACCCCTAGTCTGTATATGTGCAGAGATCTCAACATTTGGGGCAGTTATGTCCAATGTTCCCTCTGAGCTGTGGAGCCTTGTGAGCAAAAATTCTACTTTGTGAGCTACTGGGATTAAAGTTGTGAGCAAGCAATTTGGCTACTGCATAAATTAGTTTGCTCTGGACCCATCCTTCCTGAGCTGAAACAAAAATGTGTGAGCTGGAAGCTAAAAAACTGTGAGCTAGCTCACTCTAACTCAGCTTAGAGGGAACACTGGTTATGTCCAGTATTTCCTCTAAGCTGAGTGAGTGTGAGCTAGCTCACAGTTTTTAAGCCTCTTGCTCACAGATTTTGGTCTTAGCTCAGGAAGGAGGGCTCCAGAGCAAACCGATTTATGCAGGAGCCGAATCGCTCGCTCACAGCTTTCAAGCCAGTCGCTCACAAAGTGGAATTTTTGCTCACAAGACTCCGCAGCTTAGAGGGAGCATCGATTATGTCCTAATTCTTTCACAACGAATTGGATTTTTCTGTAAAGGTGGAAGTCTGCAGAACCTGAAGTTGAAATTGCGGCTGGCCCCAGTGTGCGGATTTTTAAACCTGTGCATGAGACAGCCCTTGGCTAGCCTATCAGGTATAAGGACATCCTGGAAGGCATCTTACCCAGCAGCTGTCCCGTCATTGCAGGTGACCTTGGTGTTCCTTAGAAAGGCAAGCTTCATGTCATTGGACGGCTTGGAATTGACCAAAGCACTCCTTGCTTGTGGCGCTGCACTTTCCCCATTAGGAGGCGCTATCTGGTGCGCATCTTCCACTGTAGCAACCGAAGCACGACCCTTTTGTTTCCTAGCAGGAGGCTTTGCATTAAGTTTGGGGATGCGCCTGCTGTGAGACAACGCTTGCCCCAGGAGCAGTAGGACCACTAGCAGCAACTTGGAAATCTGCAGCGCCATCATCTCAGGTCTGGAAGACTACAAAGATTAACCTGACATCAGAGGAGGAGGAAGGAATCACAACACGAGGGGGTTATTTAGGAAGAGTGGGGTGCCTCCTACTCCTGTCCTTCTGCTCCTCTGAGCAAAGTTCATTCATTTATTCAGGGCTATTTTTGGGTAGGAACGCACAGGCTCCCAAGTTGGCCACGCCCAGCAGGAACCTCATTAGCATAATAGGCCACACCCAACAGCAGGAACTCATTGGGATTGGCTACATTAGGGGTGTGTGGCCTAACATGCAAAGGAGTTCCTGCTACAAAAAAAGGCCCTGGGTTTTGGCAACAAACAAGGTCAACAGAATAAGAAGCAAAAGGTGGGTGTGGCTGGATAACCACACTTCGGGTAACATGGGGATGTGGCCTAATGTGCTAATGAGCTGTGCTGGCAGGGGTGTGGCCTAATATGCTAATGAGTTTATTGTGTTGGGCGTGGCCTATTATGCTAATGAGTTCCTGCTGGGCTTTTTCTACAAAAAGAGTCCTGCATTTATTAAAACAGCTATACGCCACCATGGCTCAAGTTTGAAGTCTTCCCCCAGTTTAAGGAATCCTCCTCCAGCTTCAGTGGCTCTTCTACTGGAGGAAGAGCCGCTTAACTGAGAGGAAGGATACTTGGAAGCAGTGTTCCCTCTAAGCTGAGTTGGCGTGAGCTAGCTCACAGTTTTTTAGCCCCTGGCTCACAGAGTTTGGTCTTCGCTCAGGAAGGATGGCTCCAGAGCAGACTAATTTATGCAGTAGCCAAGTCGCTCGCTCACAGCTTTAATGCCAGTGGCTCACAAAGCAGAATTTTTGCTCACAAGACTCCACAGCTTAGAGGGAGCATTGCTTGGAAGATGGTTGGATCCACGCCAATGACTCAAACTTGCAGAAACGTAGACTTGTGCATGAAAATGGACAACAGACTGACATGTTGCCTGTTATCAAATTGTTGGGCTCTTGCTGCAAGATTTTTCTAAGTAATTTTTAATTTCTTTCTATTTTAGGGATTTATACTCAACGTTCGAAGATAGAAGGGCCTGGCGTGATACGGTCCATGGGGTCGCGAAGAGTTGGACTCGACTGTGCGACTGAACAACTCAGCTTTCCTCCCCAATGGAACCTGCATTGTCTGACAACGTTATTCTCTCCTCTCCATTTTATCCTCCCCATCACCACCTTGCGATGTAGGTTAGTCTGAGATAAAGTGACTGGCCCAAGGTCACCCAGCAAGCTCCCGTGGCAGAGTGGGAATTCAAACCTGGTTCTCCCAGATCCTAGTCTGACAACTACACCACACACTGGCTCTATAATTAAAATGCCAGTAACTAGTTCCCTGATAAGGGACTGTGGCTCAGCGATGAAAAACACGCTTTGTGTGCAGAAAGTCTCGGATCCAATCCCTGGCATTGCCAGTTAAAGGATATGGAGTGGGTCATACTGAGAAAAGCCTTCATAGGCCTGGAGAGCCACCACCCGGTCGATGATGGGGCACTATGTATGAGACAGCTTCATATGCTCATAAAGGCAGGAAACTGGAACAGAGCTCTCACCAGCCACAAGTACCGTAGTTTTGTCTGCCTTCGTTCCCAGTGTCTGCTGAAACACTGCATATAAAACATCTGTATGCAGCAGGGCCAGGAAAAACACTGGCTGAAGAATGCCATGCTGTAGATATTTTCAAGACATCTGTGCAGAATCCTTGATACGAGTCAGTCAATTGGGGACAATTCATGGGAGGACAGGGAATCGGGCCCCAGACGGGTGATTGAGCCCAGTTTCCTCTCATGATCAAGCTGGATGCACAAAGCCATACACACACACACTCATCACTGCCAAAAGAATGAAAGAATCCGGTTTGGGCTGTGCATCCTCCGAGCCCAGTTCTCCTCCCCGTGTGGGTCCTCCTGCTGGCGAAGGGACCACACGCCCCAGCAAGCCTCCCTCGGGGCACAGAGATGGCCTCCCACAGTCCTCCTGCCCAGCCTCTCAGGAGGATGATTCCACCTGTTTTCCTTGCAGGTGTTCCTCGCTCACTTCTCGTTCTGCTACCTTAAGATAATTTTGACATTTTGGGGTGTCATGCATCAAAAGCAAGTAAAACATAATGTTGAAAGGTAAAGGTTCCCTTGCTCGAAAGCCAGTTGAGTCCAGCTCTAGGGTTGCGGTGCTCATCTCCGTTCCAAAGCCGAAGAGCCAGCGCTGTCCGAAGACGTTTCCGTGGTCATGTGGCCGGCGTGACTAAACACCAAGGCTCACGGAACGCTGTTCCCTTCCCACCGAAGTGGTCCCTATTTATCTACTTGCAATTTCTTGCTTTCGAACTGCTAGGTTGGCAGGAGCTGGAACTAGAGACGGGAGCTCACTCCATCTTGCGGCACACTCGGGTCTCGAACTGCTGAACTACTGACCTCCCACAGCCTGCAGGTCAGCGTCTTAACCACTTGAGCCACATGTGTTAACTCGAAAAATTTGGCTCAGTGACAGGGAAAAGGGTGAGGGAATTAAAGGCTCAATAACTGGCACAAGGGAGGAACATTTCTGAACTGGATCTTTCGGCTTCCAAACAGACACTGCAGAATCCCGTGCCCAACCTGTGCAGAGTCCCTCCAGTCCGAGCCCAGGGGCACAGAATGCGGTAACTCTGCAGCAGAGGCGTTTGCTGCTGGTTTGCAAAGACTGAGGTGGCACACCTTGAGGAAGCTGCAGAAGCCCTACCTGACCCCAAGGGGCTTGCTGCCAAGAAAGCATTCTTAGGACTGCAGCCATGACGCGTTGCTTAGGCAGACGGCTTTGTGTTGTTGATTTAGCACAGTTGATTTCTTAAGAGCAGCAGGCTGAGCTTCCTCAGAAGCCGTAAAGATGGAAACTCTGCCATGGAAACTCGCTAAGGGCCTTGGGAAAGTCCCTCTCTTGCAGCCTAACCCACCCCACAGAGTTGTGGTGAGGATAAAATGAAGGAGGGGAGAACGGTGTCCTAAACTACTCCTCCACTGGAGAGAAAAGTGGGATAGCAATAAAGAAAGGCCACTGAGAAATAATTCAGCACTGCAGCCCTGGCTGAGAACTGAGGAGGGCGTATTGAGCTAAACGTCAGGTCAGCTCACTGCCTGTGCTGCGAGATTTCCACGACAGCCCTGCTCCGCCTAAGACAAACGGATGAATCAAAGAAAACAGCTCTTACCGTAAAGATGGAAGAGGACCAAGGGAATAAGCATCACTTACCAAAGAGAAGATAAACCCGGGGAAAGAAAAGGCTGCCTATTTGAAAACAATCCGGCATATTTTTCAAATAGCACTCGAGTGACTCATGAATCCCTAAAGGGACTTACGAGTCCCAACATCCTCTCCCTTTCCTTCATCAATGAAATGCCATCCGTCAAAAGGACATTGCCGGCAATTGTGGAGATGCTTCATGGGCCAGACAATCTCTTGACGCCAACACTGGGTTGCAATCCTGTGAGAGTTACTCCAGTCCAGGCGTATCAGTTTCAATGGCCTTCAGCTGACTTTTCACAGGATTTCACTGACTCTCTTGCAAATTGTTCAGACAGGCGGCAAACCTCAGGCAGGATGTAGTAGAAGAAGTAATAATAATGATGATAATAATAAATGTTTGTAAGTTTTTCAGTGTGCAACATGTATCGCACACACCCTGTTGCTGCAGTCTTCACAACACCTCTGTAATGTAAAGGTAAAGGTTCCCTTGCTCGAAAGCCAGTCGAGTCCGACTCTAGGGTTGCGGTGCTCATCTCCGTTTCAAAGCCGAAGAGCCAGCACTGTCCGAAGACGTTTCCATGGTCATGTGGCCGGCATGACCAAACACCGAGGCGCACGGAACGCTGTTACCTTCCCACCAAAGTGGTACCTATTTATCTACTTGCAATTTTCTTGCTTTCGAACTGCTAGGTTGGCAGGAGCTGGAACTAGAGACGGGAGCTCACTCCGTCTTGCGGCAACTCGGGTCTCGAACTGCTGAACTACCGACCTTCCACAGCCTGCAGTTCAGCGTCTTAACCACTTGAGCCACCGCAGCTCCTCTCTGTAATGTAGGCCAGTATTATTTCTCCATGCTTCATAGCTCATTCTAAGACCTCAGCAGGTCATTTTTTAAAAAATGTTGTCTTTTCCTTTGGTTTAAAAAACCATATTTTCCAACTTACTTGGGCAGGCCCCCAAGTATACAGAGACCCCTCCCTTGCCTGTGGGTGGCCTCAGCATGTGGTTTTTGTGATCTGCCAGTGGGAGGGCTGCCTGTTTATTATTTATTTATTCATTCATTCTTAAGATTTGTATCCCGCCCTCCCCGGAGGCTCAGGGCGGCTGACACAGTGATGCTGATTAATACGTGGAGGTAAAAGATAATCCACTCATACCTTCCACCCCTTTTGAGCTCTTCCGTACTACAAAACGCACGCCCTAAAGTGTCAGTGCTCTGAATCGCTCCTGTCATACAAAAAGCATGTCTGCCTTTAGCTATGGCCTCAGAGTTATGCTGTCCTAGGAATCTAACCCAAATCTTCAGAATTCTTCTTTTCCAGTCACTCCAATGGCATTTTTACAACCTTCACAGACGGACGACAGGTCAGCCTCAGAGACTTGCACGTTACCCAACGGGAGCAAAATGAACTCATGCTCTTGGCAGGCAGCACTGTCAATCTGGCACGGGTCATTCTGACTGTCGCTGGGGGTAAGAAACCGTCCTCTACTAGCCCCATGTCTGTATGGAGCCATGCATTTGGAACGAACCAAGCAAGCAACAGACTGGAGAAGCAGCACTTACTATATATTTGCAAAAATCCTTAGGAGCATTGTGAAGCTCAGGGCACCTTTAGGAATATCCCATGTGCCACAAATAATTCTTTCCCGTCAGATTCCCTTGAATTCTTTTTAGGTGGATAAAACAAAACGGAAAGCATTGGCATTGTGTAGGGCTTTGGACTGGTTATAATAAATGGCATTCGCTGCCTTTTCTCAGTCTCTGGGAGAGGAGGAGGACATAAGCTCTGAGTTATCCCTGCACCTCGTCTCTCTGGGAGCAGTGCCAGTGATGGTGCACGTGATCATCCATCCCCATGAATGGACAGTGATTCTCAGCACCCATCACGACCACTCTCAGATAGGCAGGAAAGAGGTGGTCCAACCAGGCAATCCTAAATGGAGTTACACCCTTCTACGCCCATTGACTTCAGTGGATTTAGAAAGGTGTACGTCTGCTTAGGACTGGGCTCCAAGTCACTTATCTTCTTGACCTACATTGGGTAGCTGCAGCCAAGTGGTTACAGTTCAAAAGTTAAGTCCAGGTGGGCTGAAGTGGAAACTCGTCAGGCTAGCAGTGACCATAGTGGGTGAAACAACGTCTGAGTCCAGTGGCGCCTTTAAGACTAACAAAGTCGAATTCTGGGTATAAGCTTTCATGTGGATGCAGACTTCTTCGAAGTGTGTTTGTCCTATTGCTTTGGACACTCTATTGCACACTCTGTTCTGTGGCTTCAGGCCAACATGGCCACACACCCGAATCTATTTTAATAGTTGCTGAAATGAGAGAGGAAAGTGTGATTTATGATATTTTGCCCCTCACTTCCTTGAAAGATCAGAGTTCTCCTGTCTGGTCAAATGGCAGCTGTGACCAGAAGTGTGTTTCCAACCAGACCAAGACTCATGAACCACGGGCTTTCTGCCGATGTCTAGACTTGTGTTGGTTGAACAATGAGCAAAGCTTAGGAGTCGGTGCACGGTACCACGTTTGATGGCTGCTGTCAGAGTCCTCGCCTGCCAGTTTGACAAGCTGGTCTTTGTTCAGAGTCTGTTTCTTGTATTCCTTTTGGTTTTCCACTCTGCATTCTTATTGTAAAACCACCCTGAATGCTTCTGGCAGTGCTAGGCAGCATTCTGCGCTAATTGGCAGTGCTCCACTTAAAGAAATACAGGTAAACACATGGTGCTCAAATGGTAACTTCTTTCTCACTTGCATCGTTTAGAGCATTTCACAGAAGTTACCACAGTAATCTTTACAACAGCTCTATAAAGCAGGCCGGTATTACTATTCTCATTATAACGCAGATGGGAGGGGAGGCCAAGGATGAAAGTGTGTGTCTTGCCTATGGAGACCATGGCGGGGGAGAGATTTCAAACTGGTGCCTCCTGGACTGGAGTTTATTCTCTGTGCTGCGATGCCACTCCGACTCTCACAGATTTCAGCAACTTTACTAGCGGAATGTGCATCCCAATCCTAAATTTGGGATTATGACTGAACCTCAAATTCTAACAGAGCTATGTTGGGCTCCTGGATTCCGGGGGGAAAAAGGTGTAGAAAAAGATGTGGTGCGTAAGAGCATTTGGCATCTAGGGGAATCAGAACTGTGCATGCAGAGTCTATTGCTGTTCCTTGCATAAGTGATTGCTGAATTTAAACTCGCCATGGCAGGCTTGAGATGTATATTTTTGGGGGCTGTCAATTCTCGTCTATAAATATAATGCATGAAAATAGCTCCTTTAGGGCATATGAGTGTTGGCTCATTCCCCCAAAATTTTCAGCATATCCTTTGCGATGAACATTGTTTTGTGACGGCCTCTGGCAAAAGTACTTATTCGACACCTCCTTCCTTCAGCTGGAACAAAATCTGGCCAGTTTAACAGATTAAACCGGATTCCTCTGAAGTCCCATTGATTACAATGAGATTTACTTCCATCTAACATAAGCAATGACGTTAAATTACTTGTGTTAACAACTCCAGCATTACATCCAAGTAATGCTTTTAGAATGACATTTTCTTCCATAAGACTGGCATAATGGCATTAGATGCGCTTGCTAAACTGGCACATCCATGCCGTGAACATTCATGTGGGCAGACCTCCTCTCCAAATTAAAAGTAACAATTAGAGTGGGCACAGAAAGATATACCATTCCTTTGGCAATAGATTTCTTTGGTGCCAGCACAAGTAAAAGATAACATAGAACCAAACTCATGCGCGAGGAAAAAGAAAACAAAGAGAATATAATCTAGTGTTTGGGTTTTTTTACCTTTGCATTATTTGAAATAATCAGTATCATATCATTGCTCAAAAAATCCACTATATTCTTTCTGATAAAAATATGGCAGCTTTACATCCAATCTGTATCGCATTCTTCAAAACAGAATACGCTGGAGCCTACACAAAGGAGAGAAATTCACATTTAGCATATTTTATAGCTTATATGCAATAAACCCAAAGAAACATGTTGCATAATCAAGTTGGGATCCCAAGAGTCATATTTGCAAAACAGCAGGAAACCATCTTTTATTGGGTTAGAGTATTCATCCATCCCTTTGTTTATCTGCTACATTTCTATCCCACTTTTCCTCATGGAGCTGCGGTGGCTCAAGTGGTTAAGACGCTGAACTGCAGGCTGTGGAAGGTCAGTAGTTCAGCAGTTCGAGACCCGAGTGTGCTGCATGACGGAGTGAGCTCCCGTCTCTAGTTCCAGCTCCTGCCAACCTAGCAGTTCGAAAGCAAGAAATTGCAAGTAGATAAATAGGGTCCACTTCGGTGGGAAGGTAACAGCATTCCATGCGCCTTGATGTTTAGTCATGCCGGCCACATGACCACGGAAATGTCTTCGGACAGCGCTGGCTCTTCGGCTTTGAAACGGAGATGAGCACCGCAACCCTAGAGTCGGACTCGACTGGCTTTCGAGCACGGGAACCTTTACCTTTACCTTTTTCCTCATTGCTCAAAGCAGTTCATAATAAAACAAGAAAATTAACAGCCAACTGGAAACCGGGCACATTAAGACATTAACCCAACGGAAACAACTGTGAAAAGCAGTCCAGGACAAAGCCCACCTGAGCAATACAGCCTCACAGCTGCTGCCTGAACCACATGAGAAAAGGGGCTGCCCTGACTTCGACTGTCAGCCACCATTCTCACCCTGGAAGTCACAGATCTCACCTCCTTGAAGGAGGGAAAAGAGAGCAAGCATGGTTGCGATGATCTTAAGACCCACCTGGGTTCATATGGAGGGGCAGTCCTTCAGGAATGAGGGACCCAGACCACAGAGAGTTTTAAGGCACCTTGAATGGAACCTGGAAGCAAACAGCTGGCCAGTTCAGCTGCTGTGTTTCTAACGTCATATGGGATGTTCCGTTAGCCCCTGTAGCCCAGGAATGTCTGCTTTGAATGGCAATGTTTCTTAAGCAAAGGGCTTTCTGGGCCTTGCTACCCAAGACCCTTCTTAATGGAGACTCTTGGGACTTTGAGCATGGTAGTCTATTGAGCTACACCCCATCCGCAGAAAACTCATGGACATACAAAGATGCCCGAAGCTGATGGACCATTGATCCACCTACTCCGGTATTGTCTGTTCTGACTACTGATAGATCTCCAGCGCATTGCAGAAAGTCCCTTCCCTGCCCTGCAACCGGGAGTCCTGTTGAGAGACTTGACTTGGGATCTTCTGCAAGTAAGGTGCGTTCCTCTGCCACTGGGCAATGGGCCCTAAGCAATTTCTCTGCTGTGATATGGGATACGTTTTCACATCAAGTGATATGTTTTTATTGGTGTGATGTGCTTTTATTGGCATTTTGATTGGCTTGATTGGTTTTTATTGTTTTAGCAGTAAGCTGCCCCCAGTGGGTCTGGAGAGGCGCCGTCCAAACATTCTCAACAAGTAAATAAATGCAAGAAATGAATGGAAAAGTTATCTGGCTAACATACGATGTGGACTAGATTGCACTGGAGAAAAAGACAGTTTAGCACCCTTAAGAACACAACACTAGGGGGGCAAAATGTGATCATGTGACAAGTCGGTACAGGAAGGTGCAGAATTGGAATGAACAAAATGGGCACCGCCATCTGCTTCAAAAAAAGGATTCGCAGGCAGTGAATGCTCCCCCTTGTGTTAAAAATTCCACACAAGAGGAACCTGGCACTGCCGGCTGACAAGTGGGGAATAGACGGCTGTGCTCATTTGGTAAATGCAAGGAAGGGGGAAGAAGGCACGAAGATCATGACACATTCCAATGTGGAATGCCACTTGCAGTCACACGCTCCATTCTAACGCCACAGGGCCCACAGCTAGGCATGTACCGTCCCACGTTTCCTGGGATGCTTACCAGCTCTGCATCATGCTCAAGCCCAATGTCATGATGCTCTAGCTCCTCATCCCGGAATTTCTTTATTATCTGATGTGAAGAACAAAAATGGAAAATGAATAACTGGGTAGGCTAGTTCTGAGATGTTCAAAGACACAGTTTTAGATGACAATAGAAGAAGAAGAAGAGGAGACTGGATTTATACCCCGCCCTTCACTCGGAGTCTCAGAGCAGGTTACAAACTCCTTTCCCCTCCGCTCCCCACAACAGACACCCTGTGAGGTAGGTGGGGCTGAGAGAGCTCTTTCCAGAACTGCCCTTGAGAGAACAGCTCTGACAGAACTATGGCTTGCCCAAGGTCATCCAGCAGCTGCAAGTGGAGGAGTGGGGATCAAACCCGGTTCTCCCAGATTAGAGTCCACGCACTTAACCCCTATACCAATGCGGGCCCCCCTCTTCTTCCTTTCCCTTGCCCAAGGCTTCCTCCTTTAGGCCTCCTCCTCCATTTGATCTCTATTTTTTAAACTTTTAATGTGGATTTGGTTGGACCAGTGTTATCATCTGCCCCAAGTAACATCCATCAGTCAAAGACAAATCTTGCTGCAGAGGTAGGCAATCCCCCCGGCACGTGGCAGACCATTTTGTTTGGCACCGAGGGACTCTGGTCTCTCTGCCCAAACCACCAAAGCACTGGCAGCACTGCCAGGACCTGCAAAGCGGGAAAAGGCCGCAGGCACCCTTTATGCCTAGTCTTCCCCTTCCAGGCCTGAACAGCCACCAGCTAAAGTGAATCCACGAGACGCAAGCAGCATCACTGCATCTTGGTTAGCTCCCTGCATGTCTAGCCAAATCTCACCCCCACCCCACCCCCCTGTTGTTTTTTTGCAGACACATTAACATCTTCTCAGGTAGATGCTGATTTCCCCCCCAGCTCTTGGACCAGTAAAAGCTGCCTACCCTGACTTGTCCCTTTCCCTATTCTAAGCAACTTTCAAACACCATTTAGAGGCACCTCTAATAATTCTTTGTACTTTTCCGGATCGTCTTCCATCAGCGTCCGGATCTGGTTATTGTAGTGATGAGAGATGCTCTCCTCCACTGCCACCGTGCAAGCCATGGCACCTTTTTTGCCGAGTAAGGCTGTTCCCGCGCCTGTTGCAAAGGCATTCCAATCAGAATGGGTACCCCCATCTAATCCACCCACATGTGGGTATTTTAAAAGGAAAATGTTTAAGAAATTCAAGCCTCACCTAGCACAAACCCCGCGATGTTCCAGAAAGGCAACAGAATTGTGGGCCGGACTCGATAGGAGACCATTAAATCGTTGAACTTTTTCAAATGTTCTTTTTCCTGATCCCACATTTGCTGTGTTAAACAAAAACAAACAAAAAACCATGCAGGGAGTCAAATGGCCTAGAGACTGGAAAAAGGCATCCAAGGGTCAGCAACGACCTCTTACATCAGCGACAAAACTGTTCTGTGGATTTTAGCTGGACACTTGATGCGTGTGTTCAGTTAACTACTTTAAATTCCCCTGGAGAGCTCACAGGCAAGTACATTTTTATTCCACCTTTCCTTCCAATGAGCTCAAGGCAGTGTACACAGTTCTCCCTTCCCTGTTTTGTCTGCAAAATAGGTTGGGAAGATTCAGTTAAACTCCTCTTGCACTTGTGCCCTCTTCCTTACTGAAACATTCCACTATTATAGACATACGTCATCCTACTGAATTACTATTACACCTTATTGGATCTACCCTTTGTACTTTTTATGAGTTTCATTGCATTTCCTCCCTTTCCTTATTTTTAATTAAGAAGAAGAGAAGAGAGAGGAAGAGATTGGATTTATACCCCGCCCTTCACTCGGAGTCTCAGAGCGGCTTACAAACTCCTTTCCCTTCCCCCTCCCCACAACAGACACCCTGGGAGGTGGGTGGGGCTGAGAGAGCTCTGACAGAGACTGCTCTTTTTCAAGGACAGCTGTGCCAGAGCTTATGACTGACCCAAGGTCACATCAGCAGGTGCAAGTGGAGGAGTGGGGAATCAAACACGGTTCTCCCAGATTAGAGGCCGCACACTTAACCACTACACCAAACTGGCTCTCAAACTGGCTTAAGGCTCTGTGAATTATCTATGCTGATTGTGCTGAAAAATATCAACTCTTGAAAGGATTTATTTTTTGTGGAGGAAACTGATATGATCTGCAGAGGGCCACTCAGAATGTTAAGCTCCCACATGGATGCCTGCGTCCCTTTGTTTTGATTGACTAAGCCCAGTGTCTCTGGAGAACTAATCTTTATAAGGTACTCAATTTAAACAAAGTGGCTTAGCTCCCTTGTAACACAAAACCATGGCTTATTTAAACCATGGTTAGTTTTTAAAGCCAGGATTCTGCTTCCTTATGAACACTTAAATCCTGGTTTGCCTTGACAAATGCTGATTTCACAGCCTTTTCTCCAGCCAAAAACCCCACTGTGGCTAGGCAGCATACTAGGGCAGCTCCAATGAACAAGCCAGAATGCCTACACTGATAAATCACACAAAACCACAATTAAGACCTTAGTAAACCAACTTCAAACCTTGGTTTCAAAACCTAGTTTGACAAACGCTAACTAACCATAGTTAGTGGAGCAGCACACACTTGGACAATTGCATTTAACTATGGTTAGTTGAGGGTGCGGTGGCTCAGAGGTCAAGATGCTGTAGGTTGGCAGTTCGAGACCCGAGTGCTGCGTGACAGAGTGAGCTCTCATCTCTGGCCCCAGCTCCTGCCAATCTAGCACTTTGAAAGCAAGAAACTGCAAGCACATAATTAGGTACCACTTCGGCGGGAAGGTAACAGCGTTTAGTCATGCCGGCCACATGACCACAGAAATAACTTCGGGCAGCACTGGCTCTTCGGCTTGGAAATGGAGATGAGCACCGCCCCATAGAGTCAGATTCTACTGGCTTTTGAGCAAGGGAAACCTTTACCTTTACCTTATGGTTAGTTGAACTAAACCATGGTTTCGTGTTATGATAAAGCAACATGGAACGTAGCTTCTATCAAGCTTGCATAACAGCAAAGCTGACTTTAAAATGTGCAGAGAATGTACAAGCCAGAGATACTAACCCGGATCACCGGTCCAACTGAAGTCCGACCTAACACTGCCATCTGGCCTGCATATATGCGGTTCGCCCCATATTCTCCTGCGTGATCCACTCTGATTATTCGGTCAATAAGTGGCTTGTTGATGCTTTCAAAGGCCGTTCCAGTGCTACAAAACCTATAAAAGGCATGTATGCGTTGCAAATCCCATCCTCTTCCTGACCCTGGCATAGAGAAAACATTCATTAGAGAAACAGAATGAGATTTCTATCATGGTTTGTTATGACGGAAGCTGATTTTAAAGGGTAATCTGCAATCATAAACAGATGGGAGACTCATTTTAGTCCTGGGCACATGAACCCCTTTAGAATCCATCCAACTTTGTGATAGTATGATTGACATGCAGGTCAGTGTCATGAAATCAAAAGACTCAGGGGTGGCACAGGATCCAGATGTCAAGTTACAGTCCTCAAACCACACACTCCATAATAATCGTACTGAAATTGATCTGATTGCTCCAGGGATGAATGACCAGAGGAACACTGCTATGAAAGTAAAAAAGCATAAAGTAGTATAAAGTAGGTACTATTAAGAAAAACCCAGTTGTACTTTTTCTGTGTAATCCCAGTTACATCTTTCTAAATTTAATTTACAGAGCAGAGCAGAGTAGAACTGTTAGCTGCAAGGATGGGAAATAAGTTAGTAGACTGCTTATGCCAGAATTGTACTTTTTTTAATTGGGGGGAGCTTTTTTTTTTAAATCTCTAAATGTTGCACTTGTGTTCAGCATCAGAGTTCACATGCTGACTGTAACATTTCAGGGAACAGGACAGCACAACTCTGCCAGTGTATACTGAATTCCAACCTATGCTATTTAAAAATAAATTTGTGACCTACATTACTGCCAGATTAGCACTCAAAAGAACTTAATTCAAATCTTTCACTCTGTGCAATTGTAATAACTGCTGCCGTTGAAGCAATCTGCAGTCCTGACAATGGATGGGGGCTGCGTCCTTTCACCGAATCACATTGCCCGTGCTAGAGAGAGGACATGGGGATCCGGCTATTCAAAGAGTAACCAGAGCAAGCTTCTTTCCAGGCATGTTCACTTCCTTGCGGAGGCTAAGCTGCTGACTGGCAGCTCTGGTTCTCTCTAGTCCCCTTATTTCATGACAGGCAGGAAGGAAATTTTGAGAGAAATGGTGTTGAACAAAAGGTTATACATGAATAAACAGGAGAATTATTTATTTATTTACATGATGCATGGTATAGCCTGCTCTTGGAAGCGAAGCAAGGTCAGTACATGGACGGGGGGCACCAAGGAAGATTTTGCAGAGGGAGGCAATGGCAAAACACCTCTGCTTAAATCACTTGCTTTGAAAGCCCCTTGCTGGGGTCCCCATAGGCTTGCGGCTGGCCGGCACTTTACACACACATTCTCCACTTATTCCCTGCCTTTCTCCCCTGAGGCAGCTCACATAGTTCTCCTCTCCTCCCTTTCATCCCTGTGAAGTAGGTGAGGCGCAGTGTGTGTGACTGGCCCAAGGTAACCTTATGTGGTCGTCTCCCAGATACTAGTCCAACCTCTTCACCACTCCTAACCAGTGTTCCCTCTAAGCTGAGTGAGTGTGAGCCAGCTCAAAGTTTTTTAGCCTCTGGCTTACACCTTTTTGTCTCCGCTCAGGAAGGATGGGGCTCCAGAGCAAACTAAGTTCTGCCGCAGCCAAACCACTCACTCACAGCTTTAATGCCAGTAGCTCACAAAGAAGAATTTTTGCTCACAAGTCTCCACAGCTTAGAGGGAAGATGTGACCTGAAGGGCAAAAAAAGGACACAAATGGGAGTGGGGACGAGAAGCCACATCCGGGTATCCTTGGAGGGGGCAGGCCAGCGGCCCCTTCACCGCCCGTACCTTCCCCACAGCGAAGGCGACGGCAGTGGGCGCGCAACCCTCTCCCAGCCAGAGCCGCGGCCGCCTCCGCCATCCAGCTCGTCTCCTTGCCGGGCCTGCCTCGGCGCCGGCCACATGAGGGCGCACAGCTATGACGTCAAACCCAACGCCCTACACATTGGGGGGAAGCAACTACGCGCCTCTCCTACAGGCTATGGGCTTTCTTTGGACACTGAGTGAGGGAAAGCAGAGCAAGGGAAAGGAAAGGGGGAGGAAAGAGAAAAGCGCCTTTCACAGCCACAAGCGCCTCCGGAAGAGGCTCCAGAAAAGCGATGGATGGTTGGTTATGTTATGTGTGTCTACGAGACCTGGGTTCGAGGTCCCGCTCTGCCAAAGAGACTCTCTGGGTGACTTTTGGGTGGTCACTCCCTCTCTCAGGCTAGCCTACAGCCCAGGGTGGTTGCTGTGAAAATAAAATGGAGGCGGGGAGGACAACGCTGAAAGCCACTTTGGATCCCCACTGGGGAGAAAAGCGGGGCATATACATAAACAAGAGGGGGAACTGGTGCTTTCGCTTTTTAACCGGACGTTGATGTTGTGCTTGCCGGTTGATTCCCGCTCTATCTCTTACGTGTTCTGCCGGCCTCCCGAGGCGGTGTTTTCTCCGTCAGAGGAACCAGAGATCCTCCCCGCCCCCTCCTTTTAATTGGCTGCCTTGGACACGCCCTCCTCCCGAGCATTCCTGTCCTCATTGGGGGGAGCGAGCGTCAGTCTCCTCCGGCGGTTGCCGTGGCGACCAGGATGCCCTGGGCCGTGCCGGGCAGCGAGAGCCTGCGGGGCCATGGCGGCTGGCAGAGGCGGCGGTTCGGTGTCCGCGAGGGCTCTCGCCCGCTCGGTGGCCCACCGGCTGTAAGGGAGCCCGCGGAGGCTGCGTGCGGGGGCGCGGAGGATTGGGGCGGTCGGGAGGTGCTGCTGTTCTGCTCGCGGCACTTTGGCGGCCCATGAATAGTTGATGCAAGACTAATAATAGTAGTAAGGTAAAGGTTCCCTTGCTCGAAAGCCAGTCGAATCCGACTCTAGGGTTGCGGTGCTCATCTCCGTTTCAAAGCCGAAGAGCCAGCGCTGTCCGAAGACATTTCCGTGGTCATGTGGCCGGCGTGACTAAACACCAAGGTGCACGGAACGCTGTTACCTTCCCAACGAAGCGGTACCTATTTATCTACTTGCAATTTCTTGCTTTCGAACTGCTAGGTTGGCAGGAGCTGGAACCAGAGATGGGAGCTCACTCTGTCATGCGGCACCCGGGTCTCAAACTGCTGAACTACTGACCTTCCACAGCCTGCAGTTCAGCGTCTTAACCACTTGAGCCACCGCAGCTCCTAATAATAGTAGTACGTGATGGTAAATAGTGAATGAATTAATAAGAATCCAAATCGAGGGTGCGACTCGGTGACGTCTGAATGTCACCCGAGAATCCCGCCGGCCTTCCAGAAGCCAATTCCCAGGAAAGGGTCTCTTCGGCATCATGACTGCTGCCTCTGGGACTTCAGGGAGCGGGATCCCCTAACCAGGCCCACGCGGAATCCTACTCGAGGCCAATGTTCCCTCTAAGCTGTGGAGTCTTGTGAGCAAAAATTCTACTCTGTGAGCTACTGGCACTAAAGTTGTGAGCGAGCCATTTGGTCGCTGCATAAATTAGCCACCCTTCCTGAGTGAAAACAAAAGTGTGTGAGCTGGAGGCTAAAAAAGTGTGAGCTAGCTCACACTAACTCAGCTTAGAGGGAACAGTGCTCGAGGCTTTTCAGTGGCTCTCTTTCCCATGAAGCTGTTCTTGCCATTGCACTGGAGATCTGCAGGGCATTCTGCATAGAAAGCCGACAAAAGGCCCGGAGACCAGGTCTCCAAAACACCAGTTTTACCCCCCATCCCGTTAAAAACCTCCGGCTTGATTAAGAGTTCTGGAACATTGGTATTATGGAAATGTTGTTGTTTGTTGTTTAACTACTAGTAACAAACTATTGCTTGTTGTTTAACTACTCCGGTCGCTGACAATAACAATACTTCTACTTCAGGAAGCTTGTATGCTGCTTGGTGTCATTTTGGTTGGTCCAACATGGTTGCCTAGAAACTCCACCTGCATAAAAGTGTTTAGTTGTAGATGTTCAAAAGGCACCACAAAACTTTTTCCTCCCTGGGTACAGTTTGTAATACTGCAGGTGGCAACTTTTTAAAAGGTTACTTCCACCCTCAGTACTGACAGACACTTTATGCTGTTTCCTGACCCCCTATTCAGATTTCTCAGACCAATACTTGCTCTTTGCATTGCAATTAGATAAGAAACCTGGTGCATCGGGCATATGACCGGTGTTCCCTCTAAGCTGAGTTAGTGTGGGCTAGCTCAGTTTTTTAGCCTCCGGCTCACACATTTTTGTCTTAGCTCAGAAAGGATGGCTCCAGAGCAAACTGATTTATGCAGCAGCCAAATCACTTGATCACAACTTTAATGCCACTAGCTCACAAAGTGGAATTTTTGCTCACAAGACTCCACAGCTTAGAGGGAGCATTGCATATGACTGTATTGTTTTTATATTTTTAAATTTTCCTTGAATCTCAGTGACAAAAGTGGGCTATAAAGAACGTCAATAAATTAAATCTGCAGTATTGTATTTTTGTGGCAGCACTGCACATACAGTGATTGCAAGGAATGGAAGATGACTAATTCCCTAAAAATGATTATTGATCAGAAACATGTCTTTTTATTTTTTAGAAAATATTACATTGATGTGCAAAGAAAAGAAAATTCCTTTGATTCATCTGGATTAATCAGAGATGAGATGGAAAGCTCCAGTTGTTATACAGTAAGCAGTTGCATGATTTGGTGTGGGTTTCCAAGTCACACACGGGCCTTAGTGAAACACTGCCTTTTACACAGTGGGTGCGTTCAGACTCGGCCTTTCTGCCGGCATAAACTGCACCGGTTGAAACCGGTGCAGTTTATGCCGGCAGAAACGCGATCACACTCACCTCCATTTTGCGAAGCCCTCAGGTGGACGCCCGCTCACACGCTGCGGGCGTCTGCGTGTGTGTGTTTTTTTTTTTAAAGGACAGTTTGAGCATGCGCACTTTAATGCCACTAGCTCACAATGTAGAATTTTTGCTCACAAGACTCCACAGCTTAGAGGGAGCATTGCATATGACTGTATTGTTTTTATATTTTTAAATTTTCCTTGAATCTCAGTGACAAAAGTGGGCTATAAAGAACGTCAATAAATTAAATCTGCAGTATTGTATTTTTGTGGCAGCACTGCACATACAGTGATTGCAAGGAATGGAAGATGACTAATTCCCTAAAAATGATTATTGATCAGAAACATGTCTTTTTATTTTTTAGAAAATATTACATTGATGTGCAAAGAAAAGAAAATTCCTTTGATTCATCTGGATTAATCAGAGATGAGATGGAAAGCTCCAGTTGTTATACAGTAAGCAGTCGCATGATTTGGTGTGGGTTTCCAAGTCACACACGGGCCTTAGTGAAACACTGCCTTTTACACAGTGATTTTCCTAGTGTGTCCAAGTGTCTATCTGCAAGAAGATATTACTAGGCAAGTAAGAAAGGCAGTCCAGTTACTAAACATCAGACTTCAGTTAAAGTTGTTCAGATCTGGCTTTAAAGGAAACACGGGCTGATCTACCTCTAACCATCACTGTTGCCATTGAAGCCAAAGACAGTAATTGAATTAATGATCTTTGCAATGGCAACTGGTGTCGAAACTTGGCCTGCTTTTTGCAGCTTGCCTCGGGCTGAGTCAGAATTGTTTGTTTTCTTTCAGCATCCTGCATGTCTGATTGAGTGGGAGCATGACCGACCATTGGAACATGATTTTGCGGAGATTAAACTTGAGGCATCCCTGCGCACATACACGGGCAGCACTAAAGAATGTTACCAGAAAGTTCAGGAGAGCCCAGAAAAGCAAAAGAATCTGGAAAAGTTCATAAAAGAGACGGCAAGGGTAATGCTTAATGTATCTGTTTACATATTTGTATTCCACTTTTCTCCCCAAAGCAGCTTCCAAAGACTCAAAGCAGCTTCCATCACTGTTGTCTCTCCAGTTTCCTCACGACAGCCCTCTGAGGTAGGTTGGGCAGAGAGAGGGTGACTGGGCCAGGCCACCAGAGAACGTCCACAAGAAAATAAAGATCTGAACCCGAGTTTCCCAAATCCTTCCTTCAAAAGGGGCCACACAACCTTTTAAAGCCTGTGGGCATTTTTTTAAATGTAGAGAAACAGTTGTGGGCACCATTGCAAAATGCCCTCCATGACAGGTGGAGCAACTACCAAATTGGCCGCCTCCATTCTTCACCCTTTAGCACTAAAAAAGGGTGGGGGATGTTTCTTCAAGGTGGAAAGTGGGGGAAAGGTGCCTTTGTTCCTTCCCCCCTCTCTGCCGTTTGTAGTCTTGAGTATGGAGAATGGCAGAAGAGTCCCTTCTTTTTGTCGTTCCATTTGCGAAAGGTATGGAAAGCAGGGTGTCCCCCCACACACACACCTAAGTGTCAACCAGTTGGCTGACGGAATAAATTACAGTTTCATACTCAGGCCAGGTAGGTCATGCAACTAAACTCCTACACTGATCATTTGACTAGAGGATCTGGGCACAGCTTGGCACGCAGTGAAAATAACTGTGTGGCTGCTTTACCACAAACCCAACTCATGATTCGGTCTTCATTGACACACACGCTGATGGTTTTTACCAGCTCTGTCACTTCGGTGGTGAACATAGGAGCAGTCACAACATGTTATGTGCTGCACAGTATAGCCACGTGAAGCAACTGCATGACAGTTTTCCAGCTTGCCCAGCTCTGTGCAAATCCACCCAAGCCCTGTTCCATCTAATACAAGAGGAATCTCCCCCCCCCCATTGCTGTCTTTGTTAATACCTTCCCATGCCACAGACTGATGAATGGGTGGGCTTACACTCTATGTTTGAGTCCAGTGGCACACTCAAAGTTTGAGTCCAGTGGCACATTTAAGACCAACAACGTTTAATACTGGGTACAAGCAAAGGATGAGATGGTTAGACAGTGTCATCAATGCAACGAACATGAAATTGAGCAAACTTCAGAGGACGGCGGAAGACAGGAAGGCCTGGCGGG